ATAGTAATGAAAAGCCTATGAACTTCAGCGGGCTAGAATATAATTAAAATTAAAATCGATATGAAATCACTTCAGACTGGTCTGTAATGCATGAAGTGTCCTTATTTTTTATACACTGCTCTTATAGAAGGAAAAATCTGTTGGGACCCTCCATCTGCCTATATTTATATAATTAGCATTGCTAAAAATAAGTTTTGCAACTTTTGGTTTACAAAAATATATTGTGATACAAAAAACAGCAATTAATTTTATGTTTCTCTTAATACCGTATTCTTTTCATGCATTTAGTTATGTGTGGATTCAATGCAGAACATTTAATACCTACTGCACAATTACTTGTAAATGGTTATGGAGGATAGTAAAAATAGAATTAAATGCTTTTTTTAGAAGGTAAAGTTATTTGTTAACATAATAGTTGGCATGATCAAAACAGACTAGCATAAAGCAGATGACCACTAAGTCGTTAGTCCACTGATAGAATACTGTGCAACCACGCATATGTTGGCTCCCAGCTGACGCACTCCTTAACTTCTCCTAACCGGTAGTAAACCCGGTAAATAGGGAAGGTTCGGCGTCAGGCTAGCAATCTCTTCTCGTGAAAAAGGGAATATCAGTGCCAATGAAGCTTCAAAGGTCAAACCAGTTACCCTACGTCCCACTCGGAACGCAAAGGGACAAAAGAATTACCATTGTACTCCAAAATAGGAGCTTATTATCACCAATGATATTCCTAATTGTGGTGGAATGGATTATGCGTCAGACAGTGGGAAACGAGAAGACAGGGATATCCTGGACCGACATGAAGAACCTAGAAGACCTGGATTTCGCAGATGACTTATGTTTGATGTCACAAAAAATCGAAGACTTTCAGGCGAAAACCGACAAACTGGTCGAAGAAGCAGCAAAGACAGGACTCCAAGTGAACATAGACAAGACGGAGGTTATGAAAATAACCAACCAACAACAACAACAAGTGCAGCAGCAGCAACATCCAGAGCCAATCACCATCAACGGGAGGGATTTGAAAGAGGTTACTTCATTCACTTATCTAGGGAGCATTGTCTCAACTACAGGAGGAACGGACGAGGATGTCAAATCGAGAATCAGGAAGGCGAGAAACACATTCATCAACCTGAAATCAATCTGGAAATCTTCGTCACTCAGCCTGCATCAACAACAAAATTCGGATTTTCAATACAAACGTCAAGTCAGTCAGTTTTTCTATACGGATCAGAAAATTGGCGGGTCACAAAGAATATTTCCAACAGGTTGCAGACCTTTATCAACAACTGTCTTCGCTCTGTACTGAAGATCAGATGGCCGGAAAGAATTACCAACAACAAACTATGGGAACAAACAAAACAAGAACCAATCGCCCAACAAATATGCAGGAGAAAGTGGAGATGGATTGGACACTCACTCGCTGAGCTGAGGAGGCCGCTGGGTGACATAGCGCGTCAGGCCAATGCTCGAGTGGAACCCGAAAGGGAAGCGGCGAGTGGTTCGTCGGTGCAAGGGTGACATGGAGATCGTGTGAAGAGGAGTTGAAACAGTATGGATTAACATGGATGCAGGTGAAAAGTACAGCAGAAGACAGAAAGAAGTGGAAACATGCACTTGAAGCCCTATGTTCCACTAGGAACCCAAGGGAACAATAATAATAATAATACAAAATTGGAGAAAAATGCAATATATCTGAAAATTTCTAAAATCTTATGAAATATAAAAAATTACTCTCCTCACATCAAATAAAGCGATATCTTGACTGATTAGTGAATAGAAATAATCACATCATATTTTACCCACAAATCTGCATAAAAATGACCAACAATTTTTCAACTTTTCTACACTCAGGTAATGTCTAATTGATCAAACAGGTTCATTAAAAATTTACATGTGAAATTCAAGTCCTGTCACTTAAAATTTAATAATTCCTATTGGAGCGTTAGGAAGACAATATTCAGCGAAGACATTCTTTTCAACCAATTTATTATCAAGCTGTACAGCAGTACACATATGGATTTTTAAGAGAAATTATATCCACTAAAGGAATTGAATCAAAGGTGTATATACATAAAATAATAATAGTATAAAATGGAATTAAAATATTTGTGATTATAATCATGGTTAAATGTCAAGTAGCAAAACAATTAATGTCATATATGGAATAATTCATAAGGTATATAGATGTTGGAAAGGGGTGAAGGAAAGGTACATAGATCAAAAAACCATCTCTCTAAATCAGTCTGTAAAAGGTTCTTTGCAGCAAAATTACAAATAACATTCACCATCAGCAAGTTGTTCTTCATCTCTGTAAATAATAAATTCCCTTGTCTCGCCACCTCCATTTGCATCTATCAGTTCACTTGCTCTGGGCCAGAGAACACTTTCCAGCACGGTTTTACGAAGTTGAAAGGAAGAGTGTGTGAAGCTCTATTCTAGAACACTTGATTGACTCCTGTCACTCCAACAATCCTGACCATGATTTTAAGATCATCTACCGAATCCATGGTAACTCACCGCGTTTTCTTCGTTTTAACTTCTAAAGACAGCGGAGACCTTGGTCGTTCAGAAATTTAAGGGAAACCTTTGTGTACAAAAGAAGTATGTACAATCCCTACTTCTGCCTTGGCCGTAGAGAGATAGATATTTATTTATTTTGTTTATTTAGTTAATCTATGTACCTTTCCCTCATTAACACAATTATTAATATTATTACCATTAATAATATTCTCACTCTGAATTGTTTTCGCTTGTCCCACTTGTCATTCTAAGTCCAAATCTTTTTTACAATATTGAATACCATGTTATCCCATTTTCACACAATGTTATGAAATTTTTTATATTAGCTCACTAATCCTATAATTACACATCCCTTTCCAACATTTATACATCTTATGAATTATTCTATATATGACATTAATTGTTTTGTTACTTGACATTTAACTATGATTATAATCACAAATATTTTAATTGCATTTCATACTATTATTATTTTATGTATTCACACCTTTGATCTAATTCCCTCAGAGGATATAATTTCTTATAAAAATCCATATATGTACTATTGTACAGCTTGATAATAAACTCGTTGAAAAGAATCTCTTCGCTGAATATTGTGTATTTAAAATTTAATCATTATATGATTGAATAGCACACGCATCAGAACCATTTTGTAATGATAAGCTCACATCCTTTTCAAAAAGCTTGGCTTTCTATTGTTTATTATTATTATTGTTTCCTTTAATTCCTAGAGGAACATAGGGCTTCAGCCGTGCGTCTCCATTGCGTTCGGTTCTCTGCTAGAGTCTTCACCTGGCTCCAAGTCTGCCCACACGTTTTCATCTCCTCTTCACATGACCTCCTCCAAGTCACCCTTGCACTGACGACCAACTCGCCGCTTCCCTTTCGGGCTCCACTCGAGCAATGGCTTGTCTAGTGATGTCACTTGATGGTTTCCTTAGAGTATGGCCAATCCATCTCCATTTCTTCCTGCCTATTTGTTTCACAATTGGTAAGTAAATTTTGCAAAATTATTATTTCACTTGTATAATCCAGAATCTTCCATTTTTATCTAGAGAGTACAGAAACAAAATGTTTAAATGAACGAAATATTCCCATATTGAGTCATAAGAAAAAGGCACAAACAGCCAAGAAAATTTTCTTTTCGACGATTCATTTTCATGAGCAGTTGTACAATCGTAATTATATTAAACAAAGAAATCTTTAGACCAATCAGATTCTGGTAAACTTTGTCCTCGAAAATTGTACTACATAATGTAAGGTGTAAAAAGGGATGACTAATTGTAAGTTAGAAAAGAGACAGAAGTTGGCATGACGTAATAAGTGTGAGATAATGACTAATCAATAAGCTCGTGTAGAATGGACAGGAACTAGTGGAAAGGCTAAAGTGTTTTTGTATAAAATCTGTATGAAAAAGCAATGTTATTAATAAACAGTAATAGAGTGGTAATAAAATATGGATGATGGGAATAATAATGATAATAATAAAATAGTAGTAGTAATAATAATAGTGAACTTACATAATAAAAGAAAGAAGCAAAATTATAGTAAGAACTTTACTCTGACCATGGTACGGCAAGAGAATGTATGTATCGCTTTTGAATGCAGAGGTCCGGTTTCAGATCTCGAATAACTAATGCTTCAGCTATGTACAGAGGGCGTATGCGAAGTCCCTTTGTACGATATTGAAGGATCTCTGTGTATCACTGTGCATTTAACTGAAACTGACAAAGTTAATATAACAGATCTACTGTTAACCTCTTATCAGTAATTACAACTTTTTTTGTATTCTTCAATGTTCTTTGTATCTAACTGCGCTTATAATGAGTACAGTTATTTCTAAAATTATTTTAAAAAAATTAAAATAATTTTAGTTTTTACTAGTTCTTAGCATTCATATCTGTGTGTGTGTATATGTGTGTACTAAGAACAATAACTTTTGTTTTGTTATTTTGCTTTTTTTATATCAGCATTCTTGTTTGTTTATTCTTCTGTGTAGCCTTTCAAAGAACATTCACAATTCCATTCTTTCTTTCTTTAATTTAGTTTGCTTTATCTAAAATCCCCTCAGGCTAATTAACTGTAACTTATGAAACTAGCCTAAGGGTAAACTTCGGGTTAACATTATTCAAGCACTCACTGTCATAGCATAATTGTTTTATGTCCTTGTTAACTAACCTAGGCTTTTTTTTTCCTTATTTCCGTAGCATTTCACCTCTTTTTTTTTTCTGTGTAAGCCATTATTCGCATTTTGTATTCTGCAAACATCTAAGAATGCCTTCTTATTCATCTCTGCGTCCTTACATGCACACACACATACATAAATAATGAGAAATGCCTTGAGGTGATCACTTCGTATTGGATGTCAGTAAGATCACGTTGGTTATTATATATATATATATATGTACGTGCAAAACTTCCGTACTTTACTAGATGAGTGAGACTGTGCTTGTGTGATTCACTGTAAGCTGTCGTGGTATTTTCCTAATAATACCCACGGTCCTTGGAGTTCGGTTCAATCGCAGTCGCACTGGATATCTACAACTACAGAATTTCAGTGTTCGCTTACAACTGAAATTATCTGTTGAACAATGGAACAGGTAGGTTCGGGGAATTTAACATAGTGTACTTTATTTAAATTTTATACGATCTTTGGAATTCTCCTTGATCGCTTAATATCGAAAATTATAAATTCATCGTCAAAGCACTACATCTTTAACATCAGGAAATCAATTTTAATCGGTTCATAACCAATAATAATACTGATCTAAGGAAACCAGTTTTTCTAAACATTGTGTCGCTTCTTTTGAATCGTTTTATGCTTATTTATTAGCAACTGAAAAAAAAACAACCCTCGAGACACATAGCAGTACCCTATAACTGTCGTAAATCGTTAAAACTAGGCACCAGCGCTGCTGAATAACTCACGATTAACTCATACTTTTTTCTGTAAACATTTACAATACAATATATTTTTCAATGAAATTGAATTACGACCTTCTTGCTAGTGTCACATTCATTACATAGATGGCAAAATGCACAAGTGATAGATAATGGAGTGGAGTAAATTTTAGGTGAATAAAGTAGACAAAAATTTACCCATTAAAAGTCTGTTACGATTTTCGAAGCTATCCAATAAAACTTAAACAGTAAATGTTTTTCCCAACCATACAGAACATGATGCTCCCTGAACAAATAACTTCATCTCCGCAGACAACGCAACACTTATCAATACAGTCGTTGCAATCACCTAACACAATGCATACAAGCGAATTATCTACAGAAAAGACAACAGAATTATTAAAATTATTACAGACAGCTTCCTATGCTCAAAATATACTTCATTTAAACTGGATTAACTCCCTGAGTTCAAATTTACTGCAAGACTATGTCGAAAGTAAAGCTGGAATTAATGAATGCATTACTGTGAATGATAATCTTAATCAAGATAATTCTGTCAAGATTCAGAGTGCATTGAATGATGATGTGATCAAACTGATCAGCCAGTTACAACAATATCAGCAAATAAAGACAATAAATGCTGAATCTGCAAATAATGTTCTTAAAATTGCAAATACTTTTGATACAACTGAATCTGTCATTCCAAATGATAATAATAGTAATAATAATAATATGAAAACATGGAGTCCTAATAAATCTTATCAGTTGTGCAGTGAAGAAAGACAATATCAAGAATATCAAGAAAACAACAGCAAGCTATTAACTGAGGTGACATTATCGAGTGTACCATCATCGAAAATAATAACGCCGAATAACAGCCTAACATCTTATGCTGAAACGTACAATTTAATGAATATGAACAGTTTACCAAATATTGATTCTAGTACAAATAAACTACTTAAAAGTGATGAACAGCATCTTTCTGAATCCAACAGAAAACTAGAAAGCACATTTAAATGTGAAAATGAAAAACATTTTCCAGGAGTACAACAAGATACACCTCAACAACAGCAACGAAGTTCTAAGCCGCATGATGTTACTAACAAAAAGACATTACAATGGGCTAAACTTGGTGTACCCCAACCGGCCACGCTTACTAAATACTCAGCTCCTGTACACATTGATGTTGGCGGTACATTATATACATCTTCACTGAAAGCATTAACAAAGTAAGTCGTTTTTAATAATGTGTAAATAGAAATAGGTATATACTTTCTTGTATTTGTAGTCCATGCACTGATTTTTGACTTCAAGTTAAAGAATGGCAGTGATTAGATGGTATAACTGTAATGAAATCCTCAAAACTGTATGTTCTATTGTCTCAGAAAAGTGTTTAGATCTTAATGTATTTTACAGTAAACAATCATTAAGTGGTCATTTGAAATGATGAACAGTTTTTTTGACTGGGGAAATTTGAATTAGAAATTAATTACTCTATCGTGCAAGTTTCATTTAACCGCTTGTAAAGAAACAACTAACCAGAACGTAGTTCAATCATAAAGTCAAGAAATACTGCAAAATTATTTTCTCCTATTCTTTCAAAAATATTTACTTTCTAAGAAATGTTTTGAAAGCCAGCTTTCATACTTTCCAAACGTATAAATCTGCGGTATTTTAGCAGTCATAGCTGCCAGCAGGCATCTCAACCGAACTTATCCTGCAATTTGTTATTCAACACCACGAACAAGCACTGAATCTGATCGTATACCTAGGCGATTTGTCAGTTGTTTCAATCACCTCATCGCTGATGTAACGATATAAACTAAACTTTAACGGCACATTTTCAAATAACTTAAATTTTCGTCAGCTGCTTTCTGAGTGATTTTAATTTGTTTAAAAATTGTCGGAAGGTAGCAATAAACGTTGACTGATTTGAAGAATATTTACTTAGTTAATTTTATGTAATTTAATTAATAAAATAAAAAGTTATTGGTGCGTTACATTTTTATTTATTCTAAGTCTTCAGTTATTAATTTAAAAAGCAGTGTATGATTCGTATTCTTGTGGAAAATATCTTTTTAACTGTGGCAGCTGTCACATAGAATAACCGAAGTAAGATAATGCGTTGCCTAGTTTCAATGGCTTTTTTGATACACTGAGATTTCCACTTAAAATAAAGAGAATAATATATTAGATAGTTGGAGGCAATCGGCAGGAAGCCTTGGACCTAGGTTTCGTGCTAGTTGGCACTCATCAGCAAGGTGTATCTACAACCTTGAAGGAACTCATGTTCCTTCTGAGATTCGAACCCGCGTCACCCAGTGCTGCAGTCAGAGACGTTACCACTGAGCTATCCGGGCTCGCGATTGACCTCCTGTAGGACTGTAGTGGGTATTTTGATCGGAAACTAGTCAGTAACTAGTGCGATGTGTCTAGTCCTTTCTTTGGTGCAGACTGAATTCTATCAGTCAGGTTTTGCAATGCGGCCACCATTCTAGGTAGCTCGCCATCACGGTGCACATTGATTTGATGATACTAGATAGTTGGAGGCAATCGGCAGAATAATATAATCAAACAAATGTTATTAACTAATTCCACTCAATGTATTAACGTTTAATCCATCTTTATAACAATTGTAATACACATTCTAAACTGAAACATTGATGTCTGAATTTTTTCCAACAAGATAACAACCAGAAACAAAGATATGAATGGAAGTTACAAACTGTAAAACAAAGTTTGTAAACTCTAAAGTGCTATCAAAAGCATTGGAAAAAAGACTTCATTGCATGTAAATGATTATATTTGACGTGAGAATTATGTTAATTGTTGGATAGTGACTAGCAGTGGAATCCAGGATGCGCATTTCGTCCTATTTGGGGCTCGTCATCTGGATGTACCTGTACTCCGCAGTGAGTTGGTGATGGTGTTCCCAACGAGGCTAGAACTCAGTACTCATAGTTTCAAACGCCGAAGCGTTATTCACTAGACCATTTGGGCCACGAGAGCCTCGGTGGGAACACCATCATTGTCTCACTGTGGAGTACAGGTACATCCACTGACGAGTCCCAAAGAGGACGAAATGCTCATCCTGGATTCCATTGCTAGACACCATCCATCAATTAACTTCTAATTATATGCCTAAACATCGTCGAAGCATCTGCACAAGAAGCCGACATGTCAACCTGAGACCAAGCACTTTGGTCCAATCAACAGACGGGAAAATCTAAAATGGAATTAATTGGGAAGTATGTTTTGTGCCCTTTGGCCAAAGCAGTTATACTGGTTAGTAGTGAAAGATCAAAGAAAAAATTGACGTAACAGAATCAGCAGTAGTTTCTTCCTTTCACCAGCTATCTAACTTGAATTTCACTTTACGTTAGCAAAAAATCAAACATAAGTGAAGACTTTGAGTTTACTGTCGTTTTTGACACGTGTATTACAGAAATATTAAGTCACAAAATATATGTAAAGAAGCATCTGTAAATAAATCCCTGTTTACTTTTGTATACAAAAGGGTGGACTTAAGGATTTTAATTATTCCTATTTCTAAATACAGAAGTTCAATTATCCGCGCATATTTAATTCCGATAATTAGCTACACTACCAGCTAATAAAAAAGTCAAAGGAAATATTAATTTCCACGAGGTTAAAACGTAGTCACTATTGTTTCGGAAGTCTGTATATAACTGCGGCATAGTTTATATCCAGTGCTTATGAATTCATTTTTCTCATACTGCAGTTCATAGAACTGAATTTTTTTAAATAGATAAAAATGCAAATCTAAACAATAAATTATAAACACATTTCTATGTGTATCTACAAAGTTAGTTGCTCCTGTGGAGACACCTATATACGGCGAACAACTAGACAGCTTGTCAAACGTAGTTTGGAAAATGCCAAATAAAATCTATAAGAAGTCCTATTTTGGCTCATTTGATTGATAACCGTCACCAAGTGCACAAAAATTGTGCCTTCAAAGTTATCTATCGCATTCCATCGAACTTTTCGAACAGAATTCCAACCCACCTTTGACACACAGCCGAAGCTATAGGAATTCGAGAGAACAATCCTAGTCTTTGCATACAAAAGAAGTTTGTTCTACCTTTGTCTCTCCCCTGGTCTTGGTGAATTCTAATCAAATCTGTGTAAATTAGAGTAAAGCCTGAAGAAGATCTAATTGAAAACAATATTGTTCGCTTATATATCTTGTTCTAAAATTTCTATGAATCTAAACACAAGCCAGACGGCACTGATCAGTCTCTAGGGAGTAACCAGTGTCATATATCTAGTCTCTAACTCAAAAACGACTAGTGGTAACGTCTCTGAACACAACAGTGAGTGACGTGGATTCAAATCTTAGTTAGAGGCATCAGTTCACTCAAAGTCACAGATTGGCTTTGCTGATGGTTATCAGCAATTATGAAATCTAGTTCCAAAGCTGCCTGCCAGTCACCACTAACCATCTGATAACAGTAGAAATAGGACTGCTGTGATTCCATTCATTCTGAAATTTTTCACTGGAGAAGACCTTTTATGTGTATATATGACTTGCTAAGAAGTATCATAATATGTTGGTAATTCCCTAAATACCTAAATTCAGTATGTGAAATTCGTAAGATATTCACACTTGTAAGCGGACGATTAATAATTAATAAAAGGCAGGTGCTCATTAAATGAACATTGCCTTTTATCGTAGAAATGGGTAACTGTATAATATATGTACTTTCAACACTAACACCATTAAGATCATTCATTCTAATCTATGAGTACGCATAAATACTCTGTGGTGTCTGTAAATATTTCTGTAAAATGTCCATTATTTATTGTCACTGTTTAAAAATACTTAGCAATTACCAGATTATAGTACCAAAATTATTAATAACTAAAAATGAAATAAAACTTATTTTTTGATTTTATTTTGAACTGTTGCATTAATTCCGATTTAGTGATCTTATATCATATTCTTTTTTCTTAAGTGGATTTATCGGTTAGCTCTAATCATTTTAAAGTCTGTAACTATTTCATCTTCTCTAGGATTATAATTGTGAACAGATGGAAAGTTCCAATGTAGAACGACGTGGATTTCCTGTATCTTCTAGGTGGAATGATTCTCAGCTCGTCTTCTTTCATGAGCGATTATTACCTATTGCTTTACATTTCTCTTAAAATCGGTATCAGTCTATCAGCCCATATTTTTGATATTTAGAAATGTTACTATACCGCCTGGCACAGTATCTCATTTAATCCTGAAGTTCTTATACTCTAAAAATTATGGGATAATAGTGGGTGAGTTTAGACTCCCAAGATTTACATCGTCTTGTCATCAGAAAAGATAAAAAGCTAATTTTACCACAGTTTTTAGTTCTCTTTTCTGTTCCTTTACGTTCCCAGTGGAACATAGGATTTCAGGCTGTAGCAGTGGTGTAAATTTTTACGGGATGGGGTTGCTAACGTCATGCCCAACCTTCCCTCTTTACCAGTCTTACTACTGGCTTAGCGAGGAAAAGGAGTGCGTCGGTGGCCGGGGATCGAACCCCGGACCATCTGCATGGCTGGCGAACATTCTACCGCTGTGCCACCGACGCACTTATAGACAAAGGCAAAGACTAAATCACAACTTAATCCATTTTCTGATCTGAATACTCATTTGTTAGACACTGAAAACATACTCCAAGATAATTAGAAAAAATACGAGATAATAAACTGTGGCAAAGTTCAACAATAGCATCCCAGGACCTTCAGCCGATCAGTCATAAAAATGAGGAATTTTTGCACAAAAGTGTTGTATATTGACAAGAAAATGCTTGAAAACACATTAAACAGGTTGTCTTTCCCTGACATGACTTAAAAATAAGTCCTAGTTACAAAGAAGAGTTTTAGTTGCTAAGTTAGGCTAGTTTCTCTACATGTATTCACCAAGATGACTACAGATGAGCTGATTTTGTGAATCGTTTGTCTCTCTCATCCTGCTATGCAGTCTTCCCCAAAAGCCCTCGGTTGAATTACTATGGTTCGCAGTAAGAGGATCGATGACTAACTACCAGGAAAATGTGGACAAGAAAACAAATTAAAATAAATTTTATCAACTCCAAATCTATCCATGATCGTAACCCTAAACTTAACACTGACCCTGACCTTAATCCTAAACCTAATTTCAACTCTGATCCTAACCGTAACCCCAATACCTACCTTAACCCTAACGAGCTATTAACACATTGTCCAAACA